GTATTATTTATTATTATTATTATTGGAGGGGTGGGTTTCCCCATGCACTGCGACCAGTGGTCTATTGTACGTCCCCTCTGTGATATTCTACCAGTCTCTATACCCTACCGATACTGGTGTGTGCCATCAGTCCCGACTCAGCCAGCGAGTTCGGCCTCTACTGGCTCAGCGGTATCTAGATGCTTCCCCCATCTACCAGAGGCGTTAGAGACTATTGTTGGCCGGGAAATATCCTTATAAATTTGGCTCAGATGCCTCGTTGAGACATGAGGTTCTTTTACGTGCTGTAAAGCTACGACATGGGACCCACGGCTTAAAGTCCCTCCCAGAGGACTTGTTCCCTGAATTTTTCGGCCCTTAAAAATTCCACGACCTCCGCCGGGTTTGAACCCGCGTTACCCCATGACTATGGAGGGCGCTTATACTTAGATGACAGTGTATAACTTGTTCCAAAATAGATGGGAGAATAATGATGAAAATAATCTTAAAGAGATAGAATGGGAGGAAGTGGACTGGATTCATCTGGCTCAGGATAGGCACCAATGGTGTGCTCTAGTGAGCATGGTAATAAATCTTCAGGTTCCGTAAGAGGCTTGATTACCTGAGTGACTGTTAGCTCATCAAGAAAGGAGCCTAAATAGCTAGTTATTAGCCATTCTCTGGATGTGTTCTTCCTGTTTTATCAGGAACAGTATATCAAGATATGTACATGTTTATTATTGATTTGGGAATCATTATTTTGTGTGCTGATACTAATCAATTTCTGTTCCTGTAGTAGGAATCTGAGAGATGTTAACTACAAACAGATGTTGAAATTGCATGGTGAGTATGTTGTACAGTATTAGGTCATGCATATGTTTCTTTACCTTATGCTTATGTTGAATTATTGATTTCTCCACCTGGAAAACAAAGTTATCATTGTAATATAATAGTACAGTAGTACAGCAATTAGTAGGTAAAAGTATGCTGTAGCATTTTCACACAGAAATATTGTCAGAAGTTCAGATAACGCAAGTTCACAGAATTCACTGGTGTATGTGAATGGGTTTTACAAAATGTCATGATTGAGTGGTCAGACTCCTTCAGATTCAGGAAACTCCAGGTTATGTTTTTGATGTGGAGGCCAGCTACCCTCCCTGAGGATTTGTATGGGTTTTTCTCCTTCTCTTGAAGTAGGTGGCTTGAAACAAGCCCTATCAGGTCTTTCATTGTCCTTCCCAGTGACCATTAAATGCTGCAGTTTAGAAAACGTTCTATAAATTAGGAAAGACTGAATATGCTGATTTATTTATTTATTTATGGTTTATTTAACATCAGAGTCAGCAACTTAGGCTATGTAGCATTGAATGATAGGGTGATTAATGTATAATGAATTTGAAAGAATTTGGAAGAAAGTGGTCATGGCCTGATTTGAGATACTATCCCAACATTTGCTGCAGAGGGATGAGTAAAACAACCTGAACATGTTAGAATAACTGGTCTCCATGACATCCCAGGATCTTCTGAATACAAAGAAAAAGTGATATCCATTTGCTTATGACATTCCGATTTAATAGGCCTACATGGGAGTTAGGATATTTCACAAAACTGGTAATTAAGTCTGCATGAGGTAGATTCAGATATTGAACTGTATAAATTTTCTAGTTCTGAACTTCCTACAAAATATAAATGAAGATTAGTGAATAACAATAGAAATCTATACAAAGAAAGTGAAACTTGAGTTTTGTACAGTTGGCACTGGGGGCACACAGTAGTGTAGTTGGTTGAGGCACTATGCTACAGGCCAGAACTTCATGGATTTATGTCCTGATGAAGTCATTGGATTTTTTCAATTGGCCTAATCCTTCCGGCCGCACTATGGTGTGGCCCCGGGGTCGACTCAGCCTCTAACAGAAATGAGTACCAGGAATTAATTAAATAATTTTCCTGGGGAGTAAAGCGTGCCTGGCGTTTAAGGCTAACAACCTTGCCGCCATCTTTGAGCCGATTGTCTCGATAATGTGGGAGCCTCAACGTCTCACAACCCTATGGGCCTTTATAGCCTGTTACAGGGATAGCTTTACTTTACTTTTTACACTTGGCATTGACCAGCATGACCAACTAGTATTTGCATCTATCATAATGCATTCCTTGGACAGCAAAGAAACCTGTTGTCTGTCCATTACCTTTGCTCATTGAGTTGTAACCCTCTTACCTCACGAGGAGACACCTTGCTACTCTTATCCAGGCATTATCCAGTTCTGTGACCCATAATTTGACCAGAGGTTTCCATTTTATGTGGATCATCTAGTAATCAAGCCTCTCCATCCAGAAGGGTGCATCACCATCAGAGTGTGACATAGATCACTACATCATCATTAAACTTCACTAGCTTCTATTTTCAGCATAAAATAGAAACCCAAATTGCCAAGCTGGAAATCTTATCAAACACAGAGGACTTTCATTCCGTAAGGTTTCCTCTTCAGGGGGCATACAGTAGTATAGTTGGCTGAGGCACTATGCTATAAGCTAGAAGATCACGGGTTCGATTCCCAATGTTGTTGGATTTTTCAATTGACCTAACCCTACCAGCCGCACTATGGCACTAGGTTCTACTTAGCCTCTAACTGAAATGAGTACCAGGAATCTTCCTAGGGGTAAAGGGCTGCCTGTGTGTAAGGTTGACAAGCTCACACCAAATGTGATCTGTGAACTGATTGTCTAGAAAATGTGGGAGCCTCAACCTCTCACAACCCTATGGGCCTCCACAGCTTACAGGGATAGCTCTACCTTTTTTATTTAAGGTTGCCTCTTCAAGGTATGATGTAGCCTTAGAGATGTTCTAGACAAACTGTGTCTCTGTCTTTCCATTTCTCCTTCCCCTCAATTTCCTCCTGTGTTCTTCCTTCCTTCTGTGTAACATCTTTTCAAACCTCTTGTTCCCATCTTTCTCTCAGTCTTCCTCTTGGGCTCTTCCCTTTAGTTTCATGCTGAAACTCTTCTTAGGGATTCTGCCTTTGGTTCATCCGTATATGTAATAACATGGTCTTATTTTTTAGCATACATTCTAATTAAAAAAAATAAAAATAAAAATAGGCTTATGCAATCACCAATATTTCTGTGTCTCCTTCCTCTTAACTTCTGAATGCCTGAACCAGTCTCTGTGAAACATGATATGTATGTATGTGAGCCTATTTCAGGGTGTACTTCATAAAGCCCTCCCATCAGTCTGTGTGTCTGTATGTGTATCCCCCTATCATTGCCAGGCAACAGCTCGGTAAAAACATTACTGCAGTAAAGAATACACATGCAACAATAGAAGACTTGCTGGATGTATCGTTTTCTATGTGGTCAAGGTCACATCAAAAGAAAGTAGGTGATTAGTACTTCCCAGAACTTTTTGATTCTTCATTAATTTATCCATAGATTCTCTACTTCTTTTGTTTCTTATGCTCATTTGGTTTTTTCTTTCTATACTCCTTAAGAGTCTCATTTCAGCTGCCATTAGTTTACCGATGTGCACTGTGGTCCATATCCATGTTAGTGCATAAAAATAAATGTCTCTGAAAAATATTGTGGCATGTCTGCTAAAAGCCAAAATTCTGAAGCCAGTAGAGACAACCGTTGCCAGGGAATGGCTCTGCAAACAACGGCCGTTGATAGGAAATGACTCAGTAGCAATCACATGGTCACCCCAACAGACACACACACAATAGAACTACCGGGAGAGGTGTTTTTTTTTTACAGGGTCCATGCTGAGGCTATATAACGAGGACCAGCTGCAATTAGTCCTGAGATGGCAGTTAGAAGAGTAGGAGTTTTGTATGAGATGGTTGCCAGTCTGTGAAAACGTGAACCCAGTAACAGAAGAACGTCCACTGTTGGAAGATGCTACCAAGCAGCACATTGAAGACTGTGATAGTGATTTGTAAAAGTGCAGTCAAGAGTTGTGTGTTAAAGTGTCCAATAAATATGATTACCATTCAAACCCCATCTATAGTCATTCCATCATGTAACAATTTTTTAATTTCTCTTTGTTTAGCATGATATACTCCAGTTCCGACTTTCGTGATTAAGAAATATCAGATCTTTTGTATTACATATACAGGATCATAAGAGCTGTATTATATTTCTAAGCTGCATACCTGAAATTTTGCTTCTGGGTCCCATATTACTAAATCTGCATCCATTCCCTCTTTGAGTTGTCCTTTGGCATACTGTAGTCCGCAGAGTTTGGAAGGGTTCTGGCTCAAGAAACGTGATATGTCTGCTATTGAAAAGCCTCGCTTCCTGGCTTCTGTCCAAAAAAGTGACAGTCCTGGACACAAAATGGATATTTATGAAAGCAGGAAGGAAACACTGTGTAGCAAAGGATGGTATCAAGTTATGGAGATTTATTTTTATGTTATTTCATGATTCTTTCAGTAATGAAACTATGTAGCATCACGTTGTGAAGAGAATGTCAGAATTTAAAGGGTTATGGATATCATAAGGAACAGTTTTGCTCTTATGGCAGTCCTGTTACTGATATTACGGAGTGATTCTTGTGTCACTTAACTACACATCTTCAGGTATGTGGGTTTTGTGGCATTGAATAGTAGAATGATTATGAATAACTAACTGGAAAGGATATGGAAGGAAGCAGCCATGGCTTATGTATTCACATATTGTGTGTGCAGCAAAGAATAGATTCTTTTTGCATTAATTTATTTTGAATTATGGCCTTGCAGAATGACTCTTCAGTTGAAAATACCATACCTAAATCATTAAAGTAAAATGGTAAAGACTGGTACAACAGCTCATTATTATCTCCCTTGCCCTTCTTGTGGAGGTATAACTCCAGTCTTTTGTAACCTTCAATTACCTGGAAGTGAGTGGATAGCATCATTCTCTGGCTGCTCTACCCCTGGTATTCACTGGATATGAAGCTGGGTGGGCCTCAGAGCCAAAAATTTTGGATATAGTGGCTAAGAGAAGAATCTATATGATCCTGTCAGGATTTGAATTCTGACTCAGAGGTTGTTAAGCCTGTAGCTTAGTTACTATACTGACTGGGCTAGCGAGTTCCTCTCATTAGTTCAGTAGGTACATAAAATATGTAATTTTACTTACAGGGTCTGTAACAATATAGAACTTTCCCATTTGACTCACACGCCACGGAAAGTGATAAGACATCCTCATCATGAACATTTATGCTGCTGGCATGGGCATTTTAGGGTTCTGAAGGATTAGACACTGTAGATTTTATCTAAGATTTATTTCCGTGATAAACTTTTTAATAGGAAAATTCTTCTGTTATGTGGCACACTATTCAGGAAATGAGTATGGTGGCACATCTGAAATTGTATCTGTCACTGTAACAGTTTTGTACTTAGTGGGGATGTTTTGGTGTGTCTTCTAATGGCATGGCTTTCAAAGTGAATGTTACAAATATTGATTAATCTGCTCTACTGTTATTCAGGACACAAATGAACACACAAAAAAACATGCATCTGGCACAGAAGTTTCACTTAGTGTATGGAATAAGCTGAGCAAGATAGACTTTGCAAAGTGTGGGATATTTTGTTTGAAAGACCTTCAAGGGGTGAGATCATGTATTGGTATTCAATGTACATACCAAATTGGAGAGAAGATATACCACCCCATGCTGTTAAGAACTGGGCTTTTCCTCCTCTTGTCTGTTTCATTTCTGGTGTGCAAGGTGAGTGGTCAGATACCACCATGTCCAGTTCACCAGCCACCAAAGCAGCCCACAGTCGTTCCTGACATACAGAAAAAAGTCATGTGTAAAAGTTTCTGTTTCATAGTCACATGCTTTCTTTCCCAAATTTTGGATTGCAAAGCCAAAGAATGCATACAGAATTTTGGCAAAAATGGCAAGATAACATTAAGATGGAGGTAAGAAAAATATGTTGTGGAAGTTGGAGTACATGGAAGTGGCTCAGGATTGTGACTAGTGATGAATTTTGGCATTTGTTACATTGAACCTTGGGATGTGCCGCCAAGCGGTTTGTCTATTTTGTTTGGATTATTTAATTAAGGGCTAAGTGATCTGCAGGGAAAGTTCTGGCCTGCCACAGAATATTACCAGGACCTACAGCCAATGTACCCTTCAGCTCTAATGGAGTTAGAAGTCCCTTGATGTGCACTCTTCAGATGTTCACTGTAGTTCAAATTTTATTCTGTCGTAGTTCATGTGTGGTCTTATTTACAGTATGGATTCGACCTTCACCATCTGATAACAGAATGGATAATGTGATGAATGTCTCTTGGTCATTGACATGTGCTGTTTCAATAAATGTGTTTATTGTGTTAAGTATATTTTAAACTTCCCCTACCCATAGGTCTACAACCATTGAGAATTGTACCATGATGATATAATATTTTTCACTCAAAACGACCTCAGGAATAACTCCTGAAATTATGATACAAATTTATTAAATATTATGTATACAGAAGAGTACTATCTTCTGGAATATACGAGTACTGCTGTGTAGTCCTTTGAAAATCAACTGACATTCCAGAGGAATTTTGACCATGAGAATATAAGCAATATAGTTCTCTGAAACATCGGTTGCCTTTCAACGGACTACATGGCATTATATCCCAGAAGATAACCACTGCTGTGAGAACCTCAAATCATACATCCTATATACAGCATGAAGTTCTGTCCTTTGAACTGAATCACACTCTGCACTCTTATATGTTACCAAGAAAGGAAATAAAAGGAAAAGTTACAAACCACAGTGAACATTTGCCTTCTTTTTTAAATATGTTGATAGCATGATGCTCAGCCCACTTTACCTCTGAGGTTGGAGCTGCCAGCACCAATTGAATAGGAGGCTGGGTGAGCCCCAGAGTCTGGATGCAGTGATGAAGAGGAAAATTTCTGCCCATGCCAGGAATCAAAGCACGATTCTCCAGTCCAGTCTGCAACCTGGTCACTACATTGACTGAGGTATGTGGCTTATCATGGATGAAATGGAGCATATTCTGTTGCCATTGGGATTCACTGTATATATCTACATATTGCCATTGGCCTGTCCTTCACTTAGAAGTGACATGTATTAGTGGGCCTGCTGATGAAGTCAGTACGTTGGGAGCATGAACATGAGAGTATTTGTAACCAACAGTATGATGGCAGAACCTGAATGTTGTTACTGACAATACTACAGCTCACTACTGAATGTGATCCTGATGCATGTTCTGGCTAGAAGGTGCAGACAGTATATTCCTCCAAAATGATGCTCACCTGCCAGCTAAAACAGGATGTCTTCATCAGTGTGTGAACCTCAAATCATAAATATGATACTAATATAGTTGCAGCCACCCATCTGACATTCACAGCCCATAAACTGATCCGGTGTTTATCTACATCTTCTTGGTATTCCAGTTAGACATTTCATGAGGTTCACATCAACATTCTGTATGCATTTGTTGCCTCTGTCTTCTCTGCTACATCTCCAGCCACTGTACCCTGCTAGACTGCTGGGTAGTCTGTATCATATAGAAGTTTAATTTGAATCTCACCCTGTTTTGGAGACCTCTGATAGGTGGGCAGCACTTATACTGCGTGGCACAGTCAGGAATTGCTTCTGCGTTGAGTGTCAGATATTGATGACATGTCTCGGCTGTGAGGGGCAGTCCACTGCTCTTGGCTGCCCTCACAAATGGCAGTGCTTCTGCTGCTGACAGGTGGACAATGTGGCATCGCACACTGGAACACCAACATCAGAAACTGTACTGCAGCTGATAATGGGAGTCCCTGCTATGGATCTCAAAAATCTACCACACAGATCAGCAAAGTTGTCTGGGTCCAATTGATCCTAGTTCAAATCTTCATACACAGTATAATTCCTGAAGATCCATTGCAGCTTTCTGCATTTTATAAGGAAAGTAGGCATACATGTTCTACATGTTCTACATGTTGCCTTAGCACTGTCAAGGATCTATCAAATATAAATACATGGTGTGTCCAGGATCCATTAGGACTCATTTTTTTTTTATTTTGCCCTGCAATGCCTTCTGTTGGCAAGTTCTGGCGTTAAGATTCTTGAAGTTTCAGCTGTGGCTGTCTATAATTTCAAAGTGCAAGCATCGCTGCATCATGTGTTCTGACCTTGCATGTAACAGTACTATTCTGATGCTCGTCGGAACATGGCGGTTGAACAGAGAGCCAAAATCAAATTTTGACATTAGGCAAAACAGCCAGAGAAGCGTACCAAGTGATGAAAAGTGTGTACGGTAGTGATTGTTTGAGTCGCTCAAACATTTTTCAATGGTATGCTGTATTTCGTGACAGCAGGGTGGACATTGAAGACACTCCACATGCATCAAAGCCGAGAACAAGTCACACTGAAGAAAATGCGAAAAAGTGACAAAAGACATGTTATGGTTGGCCCAAAGTGATACAAAATTTACAAACTCAATTGTTACTGGTGACAAGACATGGTGTTTTCAATATGAGCCTCTCACAAAGTGGCGGAGTGCAGCATGGTTGAGCCCAAGGAAGCCAAAACCAAAGAAAGTGCATGCAGAAGAGTCGAGTAAAGACACTGTTAACCATTTTCCTCGATTCCAAAGGAATCATTCACAAGGAATTTCTGCTAGAAGGTCAAACAGTGGATTCTGATTATTATATCAGAGTCCTCAATCGTTTGTGGGTGAGAATTCTTCGAATTCAACCTGAATATGGGGAGCAAGGTTCCTGGTTGCTCCTCCACAATACTGCCCCACCCCACAAATTGAAGATTATGCATGATTTTTTGGACAGAAAAGGGATCACAGTCCTTGATCATCCTCCGTATTCGCCAGATTTGGCTCCAGCAGATTTCTGGTTGTTCCCAAAAGTTAAGTTGGTGATGAAAGGAGACCGTCACGACACCATCCAAGACATGCAAAGGGAATGTACCGCAGTTTTAAATGTGATTCCACAAAAGGAGTATAGTGACTGTTTTCGAAAACTTTTCAATTGATTCAGAAGGAGACTATTTTGAATAAAAAGAGTGAAATTTTGAAAATAATTCACATCTTGTATTTTTAATGCACACAGTCATAACAGAACCTGGACACACTGTGTATATTCTATTCTGTTTAAATTCTACAAAAAATTACTTTAATGTAAGTTGTATTTTCTTAGATATGTTAACAGTTTGTAATTTCAGAACTGTATATCAAGTGTCACCAGCCATATTGTTACTATACACTGTATGAAATAAAAAGTTTCAAGGTTGGGGTAATCTTGATGGCATAATGATAGTACCAGATCTCCTAAAATTTGGTCCACTACTTTGTCAAGATGGAGAGGGGGACACACACATACCCACACATGCACTTTCACTCTCTGTTTCGTGTGTGCGCACACACATGAAAGCTTGGCGCTCTCATAACCTGTTTTCTTTCTCTGAGGAAAGCAGAACATTCTGAAACGATGTTTTGAAAGTTTATGCATACTCAGTGAACTCCAGAGACTGTAGCAATTCACCTTTTGCAGAATTAAACCGAAAAGTATACATGTGATCTGGGCATATTTTTCATACCTGTATTTTGAGCATAATTGTGTTATGAGTTGAACAGCTGTTACCTCCATCTTTGGTGGCCTTGATCTCAGGAATGTCCTGTACTCACAAGGATTGTCTGGAACAGTTATTTCAGTTTGTTAAGGACTGCCAAAAGTATTTTCATAGCCTGCTATGTACACATTCATAGGGTGGCAAGCTTCTTATCTGTCTCCTGCCCTATTCTGCTGGGAATGTCTGTCTGGATACACGTTTGAGTGGCTGTGATGAGTTGGAAGTTAGATCATGTGAGATTAAAATTTGCATGGCAGCGAATGGGAAGATTAGATTCCAAACATCACTGTTTGCTACCATTTAGAACTGTTCCATTAACTGAACAGGGTACAAGAAATGCATCTGAAATATTGTTGGGGAAACCTATCAGAAAGAACTCCCTTGGAAAAGTGAGAATGAACTTGAAGGGTAATTGGATGTTAACAAAAAAAGACTTCCTGTGAACTAAATTACTTAGTGTTATATCAGATGATTCTTAAGTTATTTAATGATGCATTTCACACTGTCCAGATTATGAACTGTTGAATGGCAGGATGATTTCTGAACGATGAGTTCGAAAGGGTGTGGAAGGAAATTGTTTTAGTACTATCCAGACATTTTCTAGGAAGAACTAAAGAAAATCATGAAAAATCATGTAGTGGGTGGATGTAAGGGAAGACTGGAGAAAACTGTATAATGAGAAGCTTCATAACATTTACTTTTCACCCATATTATTAGGGTGATCAAATTGTGGGCTGTGAAGTGGGCAGAACATGCATCATATTATTCAGAAAATCTGAAGGAAGGAGACCATTTAGAAGGCTCAGATGTGGATGGGAAAATAGTATTAAAATAGATCTTAAAGAAAGAGAGAGAGAACGTGGATCAGAACCATTTAGCTCAACACAGGGTCCAATGATGACCTCTGCACACTCTAATTGGGCATTTGGATTCAGTAAAAGGCAGGAATTTCCTGGGTAGCTGAGTGTGTGTTAACTTCTCAAGAAGAAGTCTGCTCCATTAAGTTACTTATTTAGTTTATATCACATAATGAGTTCTCCCACTGGTGAAAGCCAACAGTTTCACTTAAGCAGCCATTTCTGAAGTCAGTGCTGTATATTATTTCCCTCTTTAGCATTTGTGTGTGTGTGTGTGTGTGTGTGTGGGGGGGGGGATTTGTATAGTAATTGCAACACTGCAACACTGTGGAGTAAAACATACCTGAAGGCATCACAAGTTCTGCTCCCAGCTCACATTCAGCATGGAACTGAAATAGTGAAGGCACTGTGAAGTAATACCTGGTATCATGACCGCATGTTAATTTTATAAATGCTGTAAGTTCATAAGACATCATTCATTCTATCAATGAAACGCTGTGGAGAACAACCCTTCTGCTTAGCTAGTGAAGAAATTCCCCACCTTTTATGAAACTTGAAGGTCCATTGCTGCATTTACAAGAGCCATTCTGTCTACTGCTAAATAGAAAAGACTTCTCCTCGAAATCTCAAAGAGAGCAAGCAGGCTGGCTCAGGTGCTAATGCTTCTGACTTGTATTTCAGATCTGCATAGCTCAGCTCTCCTAACTAATGTTTTTCTTGAGTTATTTGGTTCCTCCAAGCAAATTTGAGAATAGTTTCTTTTTGAATTCATTTTCAGTCTATGTATAATGTATGACCCTAAAATACAGTATTGTTAGAACAGTACTTCAAATTAGGCCATGATTGCTTCTTTCCATATCCTTGCTAGTTAATCGCTAATTATCCTACTGGTCTATGCTGTACAGTCTGAGCTACTGAGAGTATCATTAAATAAAACTATAAATACATAAATAGAAATCTCAAAAGCAGAACAGTTTGTCATTAGGAATTTCACATCAGGTACAGGAAGACAAATCCCCCAGACAGCAACATGAGACCATAACTTGTGCTAATGTATTGGACTAATACTGATTTATTTATTTATTTATTTCACAGTGTTGTCAGTAGCTCAGAGTATGGGCTTATAATGCCAGACAAAATAGTGATCAATGAATAGTGAATTGAAGAAGATGTGGTAAGAAGCAATCATGGGCTATCTTGAGGTATTATAGTGACATTTTCCTGGAGATACTGAGAAATACCACAGAAGACTCTTCTATCAGGATAGCTGATGCCCTGGCAGAGTTTGCAACTGGCACTTGCTGAATAGAAGCCAGAAGCTTTACTGACTGACCTAATTTGCTTGGTATTATGATGTAAAAAATATGTGTATATACACATACATATGTGAAAGACATATTGACTGTCTTAGACACAGAGCAATCACCAACATACAATGTACAGTGAGATAAATTGTATGTGGTTTCAAATGGATTACCTTGCAGTTATTATTGTTTACACGTTTCTAGACTCTCATGAGCTGACACTATATCAGTGCCTAAGTTTGTTCACATTTTTGCAAACATTTTTTATTTTAAAGTTCAAAATATTTATACAGCTTTGAAATTATCAGAGGACCACCTCAATAGAAATTAATAAAATATGAAATACTTTTGTGCCAACTTACTGCCAGAACAGAATTTGTTCCTTCCAACTCCTTCAGTGATAACTCTACATCCTCCTTTGTCACTTCTGGAAACTCGTCCACACCACTTGGGCACAGGAAGCATTTGAAGCCCACCACACCAGCTTCCACCATGTCCTTTAGTTCATTCTACAAAATCATATAGGAGGAGCAAGTTAATTTGGTGGACCTGGTGATCTTCATGCTTTCCTTCAAGAGTTCTGAGTTCAATCACTGGGCAGATTTGTGTGTAGAGTTTTCACCTCCACCAAAGATAAAACTTAAAAATGTGAAGATAATATCCAGCCACCTGCTCCCCCCATTTGGATTTCATCAGGCTGTAAATCCCTTCTGCTGGCCTATCATTGAGAGTAACAGATTCTACCTATGGGTGCCCTCATCCCAGAAATGTATCCTGTGTCCTTGCCTGGATGGTAGAGGCAGGACCATATCTGGAGGCACTGCACAGGCAGCAATGGCTTGATTGGATCTAGCAGAGATAGGCTTCTATTTCCAGGCCAAGATGAAGGAAGGTTATCTGCATGCCTAAGCATCATGTTGTGAATGGGTAGGAAATATTGGAGTTAAAGTACCATGCAATCTTAATTCTTGCCACTAAGCCACTTTAGCTACTGGGTAAAGTTTCCCTTGTGTTGATGGGATAGGTTGCTTAATGGGACTCACAGATATTCTGAGTGTGGTTACAGAGAAACCCAAGTAGACTCTGTGTGTATGCGCGCGTGTATGCAAGTGTGCATGTACACTAGATAGCTAGATCCATTACAGGACAGTGTTCCATTATAAGCTCCTTTGTCTTTCGCACTCTGCCTGCTTAGGTATTTAAAATTTTATGTACCTGTAATGTTCAGTGAGTTGTAAGTCACCAGAATTTAGAGCATGCTTCCATCATCACATGTCCCTGTCAGCAAGGTTTTCATTTTACTGTCTTATGAACCTTATGTAGTGAAGTGCATATTATGCACACAGCTCACCTGATTGCCAGGTACAACTCCACCCCAGAAAGCAACATCCACATGCTTTTTACCTTTTGCTGCAATCATTTTGGTCTCTAAATTTTTTTTGGTTGTTGTGGGTGGAATAGAGTTTCTGTAAAGAAAATATTTGTATTATAACATTCCTACATGAATGCAACTACTGGACCAAGTGGTTTGCTATAGCAATATGATAGCTTGACTTAAGTTGAAAGAATTTCCAAACATGAATGTTTTGTATCTCACACATCTGAAACCCTGTTTTTCACATTTGGGTTTCTAAACATCTCTTGCGGATAAGCATGCATGGATACAAATGACAGGACAAATCCACTCATCTCCTCACCCATGACAAGTGAAAAAGTAAGGCTGATGAGCGATATTTTAATTTATTCATTAATATACTCTTATACTGTCTTCTATTATTTTTCCACAGATGTCAGAAGTAAATTTGAACATATTCTAGTAACTCAGACCATATAGCATTCAGTGAGTGGATGACGGTGAAAAAGAAAACGGGAAAGAATGTGGCAAGAAGTGATCATGACAGATCATCATTACCATGAACCTTGTAGGGTTAGGTCATTAGGGCTTGTCTGTATGAATCCCAAGATGGTCTTGGTCACTCTGTCATTTTAAGTCTGTGCCAATGACAGGATGCCACTTATGGAAGGCTGTCTCTTTCTAGTCTTTGAGACATGGCAAGTGTTTGTAGGATGTCCAGCAGAGAATCTTATTAGCTAGGTATTAAGGTGAAGGCTGTATATTTCAGATGTATTAATATTGCTTTTTCATATTTGTATGCTTAAGCGGCCTCCATAGTCTAGGGGTAATGTTCCCACCTCATGACTCAAGTTACGCGGGTTCAAACCCGGCGGAGGTCGTGGAATTTTTAAGGGCGGAAAAATTCAGGGAACAAGTCCTCCGGGAGGGACTTTAAGCCGTGGGTCCTGTGTTGTAGCTTTACGGCACATAAAAGAACCTCATGTCTCAAGGAGACCACTGAGCCAAATTTGTAAGGACATTTCCCACCCATCAATAGTCTCTAATGCCTCTGGGAGATGGGGGAAGCATCTAGATACCGCTGAGCCAGTAGAGGCCGAACTCGCTGGCTGAGTTGGGACTGATGGCACACACCAGTATCAGTAGGGTATAGAGACTGGTAGAATATCGCAGAGGGGACGTACAATAGACCACTGGTCGCGGTGCATGGGGAAACCCACCCCCTCCAATAATAATAATAATAATATTTGTATGCTTTTGTAGAGGACAGTCAGTGATAGGTTATGACTTGATCCAGGTGACAAAGAACTTTCCTTGAGCCAAGTAAGGTTAAGGAACAAACTGAAATTTTCAGTCCAGGGATTGCCAGTATGATTATTCTGAATAGGTACAATATAGAGTCTGTAACTACACAAGTGTTAGACTTCTGGTTCTTATGCTACTCATATTTTTACGCAGTGTATCATCCTTCATTTTTGGCCTAACATTGAAGATGTAGAAAATCTTTCTGTTGAACAGCAAATTCAGCATTTCTCAAGTGCCCCAAATTGCTGACACAGACTAAGCCTAATTTACTGACTGACTATCTATCTAACTCAGTAGGCTGGGTTCTTCTTGAGAAGCCAACAGTGGCACATCAACTCAAGAAATCCCCCACATTTAATGGAACCCATAAATTCATTATGGTGTTCACAACAGCCCAATATTGATCCCCATCCTGAGACAGATGAATCCAGTCCACACCCTACGTCTTACTTCTTTACAGTATATTTTAACATTATTTTCCGATCTATGCCTAGGTTTTCCAAGAGATCTGTTCATTTTAGGTTTTCTGACTGTAACTTTGTATGTATTTCTGATCTCTTGCATGAATGCTGCATATTCTGATCATCTCACCTTTCTTCACTTGATTGTCCTGATAGTATTTAATGGGGTATATGAACTGAGAAGCTCCTCTTTATGCATTTTTCTCAGTTCTCCTGTTACTTCCTCTTAGTTCCAAATATTCTCCTCAGCGCCCTAACAAAACTAATTACATTTTATGTGCATTCCATATAAAGACCCTACTAAGAGTATGTGCAGAATATTGCCACCTTCCAGTGCAAGTATAAATTGTGCAAAAAGATTCTATATTACCAGTCAGAGTGCTACAGTACATATTCTTCTCTGTCAGTGGCACAAAATTTTCAAATATGGTTTATATGTGTATGTATGTTATGCCCTATTGTTTGAAGTGTGGACACTTGTAAGATCTGACTCGAAGTGGAACTTATTAGTCATATCATTATATGAATGTAAAATATTGACCGCTGTACTATATGCTAAGGAGAGAAGCAGCTGTGCCATGTTCTTTAAATAAGGTTGCAGTGTGGCTTCTTACAGTGGCATGTCAACAATAGTGGTCACACCTCCTGCTGCAGCTGCCCTTGTGGCTGTCCAGTACCCTTCCCATTCCGTCCGTCCTGGCTCATTCACATGCACATGAGAGTCGACCAAACCGGGCATGATCACAAGGTTCCCCACATCGAGGACCTGTCACAGAACAGGATATCACTGCCATATTCAATAAATTATTCGTAGTAATACACTCAGACTCTTCTCTGTTTTCTCTCTTGGAACCCAAGTGATACTTCTGTCACACATTCTTGTACATTCATTGTCAGTTATGTCCTTCTAAAAAGAAAAACAGTTACTGTTATTTCAATAAATTTGATAGGAAATTTATGGGCAATCTGTATAGCATTCCTGTGACAAAATACATTTTCTGGAGAAAGTTATTGAGTTTTCCTTGTCTAAAAAATACCATGCACAGCGTGAATATTTCGTCCAAAAAATCCAGCGTTAATCCGTCAGAGTATTTTTTTATTTGAGTGTCCATGGGTTTCCTTAGTCACTCCAGGCAGAACAGGAATGCATTTGGAGCCTGCCCAGTTCCTTCTACTACACTATCTGTAATCATCTTCTCATATTACTTGACACTAATTTCTCCAGTCAGCTCATTATTGCAAAATATCATAGTTGGAATGGGTATTCCAACCATAAGTAACATAGACAGTGTAGAGATTGTTATAATAATCTTCTTTTCTTGTCTCTTTCTGAATTTATATAACAGTCGCAGTGCAATTTATAAGTGTCCCGCAACTTAATGAATTCTGCTTCGCTGCAGTTCTGTGTGGAGTTTCTTAGTTCAATTTTGAAATGAAGCTCAAAAATGTAAAGATATTGTTTGTCTGAAGCCAAAATAAGTAGGATTAATGAAGGGCAAAAAATGGATTAGACTGAACTTAACTGAAATGCATGTTCTTCAATGAAAATTAAAATCACAGAAACCAAAGGCATGCAAAAATACTGAATTATGAAAACATTGAACAGTCTCATATGTCAAGGGGTATCTGTCAGGCAGGTGATTATAAGTCGGGTGATTAGCAATAGCTCTGTAATTGTAGTTCCAAGTTGTGTCAATAAATCCTGTGTCCAATTCATAATCCGTCTATAGTCACACCCCTAAATCTGACAGTATTATATTCTGACGGTGACCAATAAGGTAGAAATACGTACCAGTGTGCTATTGCGTGTGTGTGTGTGTGTGTGTGTATATATATATATACAGGGTGTACATAAAGTCCGGGAACACTTTAAATTATTTGTTGCACATGAACTACAAATTATACAGACAACATATACGTGTCGTTTTGAAGAGAAACTCTGAAAGTTTGTATGGTCCGCCAATGCTCGTAATTCCGTCATTTGCCGGTAGTTAGCGTTAGTTGCAAATATGGCGACTTCAGGTGCTCACATGGTTTTCTGTGTTTTAGAATTGTACAAAAACAAGTGTGCTACACATGTCCAACGAAAGTTTAGGACCAAGTATGGTAAGAACCCACCAATCAGGAAGGCAATTTACCACTGGTACAAGAAATTCGTGGGTACAGGTTGCTTGTGCCCAGAAGAGAAGATTGGACGTCACGATGTGAGTGAAGAGCTTGCGGAGCATGTAAGAGAGGCATTCACGACGAGTCCGAAGAAATCGGTGCGTTGAGCGTCCCGTGAACTCCGAATGCCCCCAACGACAGTGTGGAAAGTTCTGCGCAAGAAGCTGACTATGAAGCTCCACCCCATTTTCATGAAGTTCGTGAATACCTGAACACGGAGGTGCCCCAGCGATGGATTGGACATGCTGCAGAAGGGGGCAGATGTTTCGTGAAATGGCCTCCACGATCGCCAGACATCACTCCGTGTGATTTTTTAGTGTGGGGACACATTAAAGATCTGGTGTATGTACCGCCTTTTCCACGTGATGTAGAGGAGAGAACCCGGGAAGCGACCGCCAGAGTCGGCGACGCCATGTTGGGAAGGGTATGGCAACAATTCGATTACCGTGTGGACGTCTGCCGAGTCACTCATTGTTCCCACATCGAAAGTTTATGAGGTAAAAACAAACTTTCAGAGTTTCTCTTCAAAATGACACATATATGATGTCTGTATAATTTGTAGTTCTTGTGCAATAAATAATATAAAATGTTCCCGGACTTTATGTACACTCTGTACATATAATAATAATAATAATAATAATAATAATATACTACTTCAAATATAAGATGGATTTTCTACACATTTTTTCTGTTAAAAATTGAAATGCATCTTAAATTAGAGGAATGTGCACTTTACTAATATTTTTTCCCAAAAACCCACATTCTTAAGCTGGTTGTATCTTAAATTAGAGGGCGTCTTATATTCGAAGTAATTTGGCAATAGTAATAATAATAATAATAATAAGCGTGCGCGGTTGAGTTGACGGTGTATATATGTGTGTGATGCTGAAGTGCAATATATCATGGTATCCGCATGTTACCGAAAGAACGAATGAGTGGCTGTAGTCCAATCGGATACCGTTTCCAGACACTGGCCAACCCTTCTTGAGAAGCTGACAAATGTTCAACTTGTCAGGAAATTCCGCGGCTTTTACGGAACGCCAAGGTTCACTACAGTGTTCACAAGAATCGAAGTGAGCCGAATACAACCTACATCCGCCGTACCGTGTTTTGTTAATATGATGTACTAGCAGTTCAGTTTGGCTGTAGCACATCAGGCTCGAAAAGTGAGAGTTTTGTGTCTGTACATGATGCATACCCACCTCTGCGTTGTGCTGAAGGGTTGCCAGCTCGTCCTTCCTCAGTATCCTGTCAATCTTGCCCTCCTGCCCCACCAGAATGCCAGCTTCTTGCAGTCCATCTTCCAGCAGCACCTTCTTACTCCGAAACAGCTTCATGCCGCCCATTCCTGACATCCTGTCCAGCATACAAGCCGAGTCAGCTACAGAACTGTGAGACCAGCAGCTGCCCTCTTCTGTTCAACCTTCACAGCGTCGCGTTAACAATTTGTTCCATCTGTTCTAACAACAGAAAACACACCGCTCTGCCATTCGAGTATTTTATGTTTTAAAAACTACTCGGAACAAACAGCGATTAATTCCTTGAGCAGCAATGACCAGTTTTTCTTTGTAATGGAGACGCAGTATGTTTTCTGTGAGGTAGGCAATGAAAATTTATATATGTATTTATTTCGACGAACTTCAGGCTTCAGAGGGCTAACACGCACATTGATATACGTCAGCGCTCATTCTGCTCTTGGGTCTTCGCCCCATGTGCATATGCGCAGTTTTCGACGTCTCGGAATTGCAGGCTGTCTCCATGTTCACGGTTGAGGGGGGAAGTTGAATAAGTGTTCGTTACCCCACCCACTTCAACCCCTGGGGCACGCGGTAGCGTAGTTGGTTGAGGCACTATGCTATACGCCGGAATGTCGCGGGTTTTATGCCCGATGAGGTCATTGTATTTTTTTTTCAATTTACCTACCCCTCCCAGCCACACTATGGCCCTGGGGTCGACTCAGCCTCTAACAGAAATGAGTACCAGCAATCTTCCTGTGAGTAACGGGCGGCAAGCGCGTGAGAGTGCCAACCTCACCGCCATCTGTGATTGTCTAGAAGGTGTGGGAACCTCAACCTCTCACACGTATGGGCTTCCACGACCTGTTACAGGGATAGGATTACCTTTTACCCATTTCGACCCTTAAGATGGAGGAAGCAGGCACCTCCGAAACGTCGGCAATACCTGCAGCATTCACTTGGCACGAAGATCGTAACTTGATAGATCTGCCTTGCTGTAAAATGACAGAAGAAAGTAAAGGTTAAAGTTACGTTTCGAACGCGTTTTGAACTGGAGTCATTATTCGCGTTCACTTTCATTGGATATCGGTATAAGCGAACATTTCGGCTGGCACAATTGCATTCTTACGTTGCAGACGGACTCTAACACTGCGTACTAAGTTTCACACTGAGGTACTGGGTTTTCGGACTTTATCCATCGTCCTGGTTTTAAGATAACTAAGAAAAACACGTTTCGGAAACTGGATCTGTTTCCGTCCTCAGGTGACGGAAAACACCTATTCTGTTGGGTCCCTTAGAAAGAGCTAGCCTCAGTCACTGGACCAGTGTTTTCCCTCACCTGAGGACGGAAACAGATCCAGTTTCCGAAACGTCGTGTTTCTCTTAGTTATCTTAAAACCAGGACGATGGATAAACTACGATAACCCAATATCTCTGTGTGTTATACACCATCATCAGAATCCTATAGTAACTACTTGTACTAAGTTTGTCCACGGAATGAAAATAAATGGAGACTTAACCGACTCACTGCCCCGTGGAGCAGTTTCCTTACTTTCTGTTAATTTATTTCTTACCTTAATTTACGACGGACGGTGGCAAGTGTAAGAAAATTCTTCCAGTTTCAGCTGGTCTCCTGCGGAGTGCGCGGCTTCAGACGGGGGGCCCCCAACAAGAGCTGACACGTACGCCTCTCTGCCTTTGCTCGTCATCCACATAATTGACCTCTAAAACTGATTGTATGAACTTGGCAGTACAGTCATGCGCAATAAGGAAAAAAGTGTTTGCTAGCAATAACTTATTTGGCCTGAAACACCGACTATGATTGAATGCATACTTTGAGCACAGGTTAGATTTCCGGGTACTGAGGTTTTCTTTGTTCTTTGTGGGTCATTACGCCCTCCCCTTCAGATTTGATGTTACGAAATATTTGCTGAGTAAAACCCTTGGAAATCCTGGCAAAGCTGTCCCTACACTTAACAGTTAAGTATGATGCCACTAAGATGTATGGGGAAGCGAAGGTATATATCCATTCATTCATTAATCAGTTGCTCTACAGCCCTTTGTTGGGTTCTGGCCTCTTCGTCAGTTTCGTAATCCTTTTTACACCGACAGTAGGACTCCTTGGACGATTGATCAGCCCATCGCAAGACCACTGCATACACACAGGAGAACACAAACACAGAATAAACGCACACACAGACATCCATGCCTTGAGTGGGATTCGAATCCACGATCCCAGCGTTCGAGCTATGGAAGACAGTTCATGCCTTAGAGCGCGCGACCACCGTGATCGGCGGAAGTGTATCTCCACCATTCCAAAACTTGGAAGTAGATGAAAGTGATAGCTTCGCGCTCCAGCTTGCTTTATCTCTGGAGAAAGCCGCCGCCACCTACTGCATAGGAGGCTGGTTGGGTCCCAGAACCAGTTTGGATGTTATGGAGAAGAGAAAGTCTCTCGTTCTTGCTCGGAATCGAACCCCGATTCCTCAATCATCCGACCAGTATTTGGATAATCTAAATCTATACCCAGTAGTAAATGGTATTGAATTTAACTCGTGGGTTCGAATCGCGATGAGGTCATTGATTTTTTTCAATTGGCCAAATTCTTCCACCCACTCTATGGTCCGGTGGTCAACTCAGCCTCTAACAGAAATGAGTACCAGGAATTTTTCCTTGGGGGTGGGGGGTAAAAGGGCGGCCGGCGCGTAAAGCTGACATATGTGAGCCGATTCTCTAGACAAAATGTGGAAACCCCGACGTGTCACAACTGTATGGACCTCCACGGCCTGTTACAGAGATAGATTTACTTTTTTATGTTAAAGGTATACTTCATCTACTGTGGGTACCAGTGTCATTTGCCCCATTTAGTGATAAAGGCCGTTACCTTATCAATAGAAACATACTCCAAAGTTNGAAGCGCGGACGCCTCAAACATGGAGTGGTCAGAAGAAGGTATTTTGGGGCTCATAGAGGCATACAAATCATTCCCTGTACTGTGGAATTCCGAAAAAATGTTTATTATAAAAAGCAAAGCTTCCTCGTCTTCCATGGTCATGTGGACGGCGAAGACAGAATGGAACTGAGGTGCTCGCGGCTTGCGCGCCCCATTCAGATGGTTCGTTGCGTGCGCGTCGCTTGTTCGAGGTGCACCAATTCACTCCGCGCATCACTTGTAATGCGCCCTCGTGTATTCCCACCTTAAGGCTAACAATCTTACTGCCATCTATGGGTCGACTGTCTAGAAGACGTGGGAGCCTCGACCTTTCACACCCCTGTGGGCCTTCGCGGCCTGTTACAGGGATAGCTTTACCTTTTTTATAAAGCCCTAATTAGGTCTGTAATGGTTTATGTTCATTCCATCTGTGAGTATGAGGCGGACGCTCACCTCGTGAAACTGCAACGCCTGCACAAGAGTACTCCGCGTCATTAGCAACCTTGACAGGCGCACACCGGTCCGCGAATTGCACGTGGCTTTCGGAGTTCCTTACGTGTATAACTATATACGAGTAACTGAATTATGCAGGAAACAAGTAGAAGTCATTCCAAATCATCGAAATCCAAATGTACATACAACTTGACAAGAAGGAGCTGTGCATAGGGAGCATAAGAGGCCTAAACTTGGCGGTGGCCAGGTCTACGATCGTTCAGGTGATTACCTGTAGTTTCGGAGTGACAAGATAGCATAAAACCGCCGCAGAAGCCTGCATTGACAGAGGTCCTGTGTATATTTTTCTTATGTGAGTCATTGTAACGTGAAAAATCGTGCATGATGTCCAAAAGGTACAAATGTCCATACCTAGACGCCGTGTGAGTGCGGGTGCACTCGTGCAAATTTGTGGTGCAGAAACATGGCGCCTACCCAGAAAACAAACCCCCTCCTCTCGTTGAAGAGACGACGTCATTTCCAAACACGTAAACGGTCTTGGAACGAATATGGTTCCTAACGGGCCCACAATCTCAAAGACTCCTGGAAACGGAGCTTAGACGCCACATTTTATAGCAGTTTCACGTCTGATGGAATGGACTGAGAGTTTAAACATTCCCCGCAGAATGTCACATGCCTTCAGAAGCAGATGTTCGCATCACAAAGCCTTCTAAGGCACGCAGTAATTCTATAAGCTTTCGTATAATTAGTTTACACTTTCAGTAGCACTCGCTTGATCATTCCATAGAGCAGAATCTATCTTGATAAGCTAACAGTTGCTTAGCTGCTGAAGACATTTTCGTTATTTTTATGGGCCAAAAGGGCCTATGTTCACAAAATTTTGCAACTACTTTCAGTTCCCAGCCGCTTGAATCCAGTCCAAACCCTCATATCATATTCATCCAACGTACGTCTATATCTGCCATATTGTACCATTCATTCAGGCTCTTTACAGCTATAGTACTGTGCGTACTACTTTCCGTCCATCGCATCCTAATTTGGTCACCCCAATAATATTGTCTGAACAATAATTAGACTAGCAGCGTTCTCTGACTCCTCCGGGGCTCGATCCGTACGCAGGCCAGCAGTGAGATCTCATTGTTTGTATTGTATTCTTGGTGTCCGACTGGCGTTTGTAAGAAAATCGTGTTTGCAGCAAGGATGTAAATAGGTATGTAATTCCATATCGATGTCGGAGGCGATTATCTCGACATCAAATAGTTGTATCGATTTCGACAGTTTTGGAATCGCTTCAGTTCGTACCTGCCGTCGCGGTTCCTCCACATAGCCAGATGCGTTTCTCATGTACCTTCGAACCGAGCGAGACGCTTCCGATCTGTATTCAGGACGTTCCTGTTTCGAATCTCGGCTGGGACAGCGCCCGTCCTAATTTAGGGGTTTCATGACTCGTCAGTCCACCCAGGCAACTGCCGCCATAGTAATTCAAATTTGGCCACGACAGTTTCATTCCTGATCCCTACCAATTTATTGTGCACTGATCGTCTCTGTTGGTAACGGCGACGTTAAATAAAAGCGTAAGAAAATAAGCTCTGTAAGGTAAAGCTATTCCTGTAACAACAGGCCATGGAGGCCTGTAGAGCTGTGAGACGTCGAGGCTCCCACATTTTCTAGACAGTTGGATCACAGATGGCAGTGAGGTTGTCAGGTTTACGCGCCGGCCGCTCTTCACCACCAAGAAAGTTCTTCGTACTCATTTCTATTAGAGGCTGAGTCGATCCCAGGGCCATAATGCGGCTGGAAGGGTTAGGTCAGTTGAAAAATAAAACGACCTCGTCGGGAGTCGAATCTGCTTCCTTCCGGCTTGTAGCATAGTGTCTCAACCAACTACGCTACCGCGTGGTCCGAAATAAGTTCGGTACTTTCAAATAAAAAAAAAATTGTATGCCATCAATAAATTTCACGATACTTCAGTACTTTGAATACATAGTCACGTATCCATAATGTGTATATATTAACCGTCTTTTAGTGCATACAGTTTCACTTGTCACTTCACACTACATGTTTCGGCATCATTCTGCCATCCTCAGGTGTATTAATCATGTTAAACCATTGCACTGCCTGCCATCAAATGTACGTTTATAAAATGATATAAAATGTGTGTTCGTCGTTGTTCAGTAATAAATTTATATATTAAAACTTGTTAAGATCTATCATCTTAACAAGTTTTAATATATAAATTTATTACTGAACAACGACGAAATGGTTTAACGTGATTAATACACCTGAGGATGGCAGAATGATGCCGAAACATGTGGTGTGAAGTGACAAGTGAAATTGTATGCACTAAAAGACGGTTAATATATACATATTATGGATACGAATCAGTGCAACAGGACGCTAAAATACAACATAGTCACGTAGTATGTGTGACTGCAGACGGGGTTTAGATTGGTGAATAGATATATTGACCACTTACAGGTCGTAACGACGAATAACTACAACACTAATCACTATTTCACCATTTTACAGTTCACAAGATCACACAATCTAGTGTTGTCAGTTTGTTACTGGACGTTTCCTGGTGACGGCTTCAACAGTGACTATTCCTCTGCCTCAGGTTCAGCTCCCCTCTTCACAGTCTCCCTTACAGAACTGACTATTAACCGACTTTATCCCATGCTCATAACAACTCAGCACGGACCACATAGAAAACAGCCCCTCTATTGTTGTGTCTGTTGCATTATTAAGAATTACTGCCTAGCAACGGGCACGTGTTTACCGAGTCGTCGCCCAGAAACTGCCCCGGTATATCTACATATTTCGCGATCGTTGCATAGCGACGGCTCCACGCGCTACAATGTTGATATCCAGTACTTTTCCTCTTACCATGGTATCAATTTATCGATGCCTTCTGACATTCATTGCCTTTAGCAGCGTGACTTCCTGGCAAACTGTTTCTCTGCGTTGCTTGGTCGGCACTGCCTTGTTTGCAATTTGGAGCATTATGTAACCACAGAGTCCGATATGCAGTGGCCTTCGCCCCTGTTTGTGACAGGCGGTAGCTGATAGGTTTGTATTAACCGTTTGAAGCGTGAAGTCCACCTAAATATGGAGAGCACTATGAATTTCTACCGGACTACACGGTGTCACATCTCAGAAGATAGTACTTTTCATAGTCACCGCTGCCAGAATTTAAAATCCAGCGTTCATCTGCATAAGGTTTAACGATTCAGTTCTTACCGCACAGAAAACAGTGCATCTGCAATACAAGGATCAACCGGTTAATGTTATTTAGGAAAACCACTGTGCTCTAACGGCCAACTGCAAACTGCTCAAGAAAGCATA